CGTTCACTATTACCGATAGATCCATAGTTCATAGTCAGTCCGAAAACTATTTAAATGAGAAATGGTGAGCTGTATGAAGCTTTGGTGCCCGGTCAAAACTATGTTTTTAGAGTCTGGGCCTACGGTAAGAAAACGATTCTAACATCTGTCTAGGATAACTTCACATCTGGTTTGTATTTGACTTCGAATTTAAACAGAACTACGCGAGAAAGCCGACAAAACATACTTTTCTGTAGATTTCTTATGAGAATAGTCGATCAATAAATAACTATAATATTGATACTCTATCCGGTCATGTACATTGGAAATATTACATGTCAGAAAGAAAATTTTTGAATATTCATCAACTGAACGGAGTTTAAATCGATCTGATCAGAACTGAGACTTAGTCTGAAAGAATGTAATCTGCGACTCCCTAGTAAAACATTAAAAACGAAAGCGGGTGATAAAAACTTATCTTATAATATATTCTTTTTGTTATATAGTGAAGAATATGATGAAACACATCAAATAAATAAGACAGCAGACTTTTAAAAATATTTTTCGTTCTTATGCTACATGAGTCATAAACGATGTTTTACTTTCTTTATTTCTGACACACTTTATGTGACTTGGAAATAAAATATAAAGATAACGTTTTCTTCTCTCGACTCTCGCGGAAAAATGATCCATGAGGGCGTGAAGGTGAGTCAAAGCAATCCGAGACGCGTTTTTACTGTTCCTCAAGCAGTCTCATCAGTTGGTTTTTGACTATGAGAGTGAATCAGTATGAAACAGATTAACTTATATATCTAAGATACAAATTCCGAGAGTATGTGAGTATTACGGGAAAGAATTCCTACGACCATTTGGTTTCGACCCTATTCAAAGGTCAAAATCTTGCGGCAGGAAATCAAATACTGCATATAAAGAAATTCCTGGAGTGAAAGGTGAGGGTGAGAGTAAGGCTACGGTTGCGATTGAAAATAATCACAATACTCCCAATCACACCCACATCTATACCCTCAAACACGCCTCCACCGACACCTATAAAGCTCACCCTCACTTTCAAGATTCCGAATTAAGATACTCATCGTCGCCCTATCTTTTCACATATATTTCGTGTTTTCTCCTCCTATGGGTGGGACAAAATAGATGTTAATAAGGATCACAAACGTGCACTTTCGTAAAGTTGAGCGATTGTGATGATAGCATGAAATACTAATATCCAAGAATTCTTATATTTACGTAAATAATATATATGCATAGATTATATACTGATTTTCCCCAATATTTTCTAATTCATTTTCAATACAAATTCTCACAAAAAAAGTTAGAACACAACAATAACATATGCAAACACCGACAAAAATTAATGCGCACACGTTTGAAAATGATTCTTTTTCTACAGAAAAATATTCAAAAAAACTCAGGAAAGAGCAAACGAAGTACCAGAGCGAAGTACAGTAATACAATTAATTAAAAGTATATAAGCACAAAAAATTATAATTAACTGGTAGTCTTTCGAAAGGTTTTTTTATTTGAGATATTGTATTGAATTCAATTATTCTCTTTAGAGACGTACAAATTGAAGACAAATATCAGGTGCATAAGCCAATGGAATCTGTTTTCTAGAAATTTCATCAATGTTTTCATACTTATCGACAGTTTGAACTCGATAATCAAGTAGAATTCGACTAATTATTAACTTGTGTAGTGATCTAACAAAATATTCACCAAGACAACGACGAGTTCGTCCATTACCAAAAGCATGAATAGCTTTACGTTGTTTGGCATCAAGATTACGAAAACGTTCGGGACGAAAGACAAGTGGCTCATCCCAAATATCATCTCTACGATGTATTGAATGAGTATCATAAATAACCATAGTATCTTTTGGAATAGATATACCAGCAATAGTCATTGCTTGACTAGTAAATTCTGGTGTATTTAACATTTGAACGGGAAACATTCGTTGACATTCATTTAAAATCCAGTCTAAATATTCAATTGAATCTACATCAGCTAATGTTACTTTTGATTGATCAGATATTCGATTTTGAAGAAGTTCTCGAGTAAATGTTTGTACATCTTGATTCATAGCAAGTAAAATAAGAGTATATGTAATTGTAGCTGCAACAACATCAGAAGGAAAGAAAAGACTTTCAGTAAATGTATCCATTAATTCTTCAAATGTTACATCACATTTCCCTTCAGCTTTCATTTGTACAAATTGTGTAAGCATTGAATCATTAAATTCTTTCTTATCATTTTGATTAGTTTCAAATTCTTCTTTATATTCTAACATCAACTTCTTAAGTAAACTTTCCCATTTATGTCGAAAAGAAGCAATTTCAGAGCGTAATTTATATGCGTCAGGTAAAATTCGTTGTAATCCACTGACATTAATCCAAATGGAACAACAAGATAAACTCATTAAATGATTCATTTCATCAACTAATGTACGAAGCTCATTTAGATGTCCAGAACTTTTTCGACCTAGATACATGTTAACACTAGCATCATGACCTAAATAACTAAGCTCTTTACGAATGTCGATTAATGTATCAGTATTAGTAAGATAATGAAGTCGAGTCATAAATTCATTAATAGAATTTTCTATTTTCGTTTGAAATCGACTGATATTCTTGGGTCCGAAACAAACATGAAAGAATTTACTAATACGATTACGTGCTCGATATGGTTTAAAGCCAATTGCTTCGCCCATAAGATGTATCAGTGCCCAACTTAATTTGACTTCACGTTCGATTTTTGTTTCGTCATGATATTGCCAAAAGTCACGAACAGCATCTGGATGAGCAAGTATTAATGCTGGTTGAAGACCCATCCAGATCCGATAAACATGTGGATTACCCAGGTTTTGGCACAAATGTAATAAAGCAAGTCCATCTTTACTTGATAGTAGGCCACGCCAATCGCCAAGTGGAAAACAAAAGTTAGTACCTACAACTCCCGACCAATTGCCTGATCTTGTCACATACCATCGAAGAAGTTTATCAATAACAATAACAATGACAAAACCAATTAAAAGTAGCTCTATTAGTAAACCAAAAAGACTTTTTCCAAAAAGAATTTCTGTAATATTAAACATGACTAATGATCTAAAGTCAAAGAATTTCATCTATTATTTAAAAAAAGATAATTTTAGTTCCTCATTTCTTTCATATAGGAATGTGTAATTTCAATAGACACTGAACATTAAAAGTGTTGAAATTAGTGAAAAAAGACGTCATTGATATCTTTAGTATTCGACGAACACTAACAGTGATATTTTCAGCGTCATACATAGTTATCATTGGTTCTGACATTGCTGATCTTCAGCAAACATAAATGTCAATGAAAGTCAATGATGAAAAATATTTCTACTGGCGGCGCTTACGATGGGCCAGAGTGGGCTGAGTTCACCCCTAACTGAAAATTCTGGCGCCGCCGCTAAATGTTTCACAAACGTCTTTTTATATTGGTCGGAACTTGTACAATAGATGAATTTCTACTAGAGAGAAAGTAAACTATGGCGTGTCAATAATTAGGTCACATCAACAGTAGAATTAATATCAAACTTTTTTTTATAGGGATAAATCACTTTTCGATCGATCGATTCAAATCTCGCAGAGGATAAACATGTGTAAACGGGGATTGTTTGACAAAAATATTCCAAATTAATGCCTATCTTTAAACCAATCTTACGTTCCTTGGAGTCATAATCACAAAAATATGATCCGATTTTAAAATGGGTCGTATTTAACTGGTCAGTATTTTATTGTGAATGGTCAGTATTTTTTGTGAAAAATCAGTATTTTATTGTAAATTATCAGTATTTTATTGTAAATTATCAGTATTTTATTGTAAATTATCAGTTCGATAAATTGGCCAGTAAATAATTCATTCTTGGTCAGTAGAAAAATCGCTTTTGGTCAGTACAAATTGACCCATAACCCGTAGAAAATTTATTGCAAATCAATCATTAAACTAACGCCCAGACCTCAGCCAATCTCACCATCACCCTCACCCACACCCACACCCACACCCTCATTCTCACCCTTAGTAAATTCTAATCTGGAGTTATAGTTTTCAGGGACATCGGACTCAACTTTCCTTGTAGTACATTTACTAGAAGAATACATCGTTAAATCACTAAAAATTATTATGCAAAACAAGCAAATTTAATGGCTGATTAGCACTAAATCTTTTACTGATCATAAATCAATTCATACTGATCAAAAGCGATTTTTTACTGACTAAAAATAACGAACTGACCATTCACAAAAATATTGACCATTTAATTTGTACCCTTTTAAAATCTCTTGAGATAAAATAGATAATGTTGGAGTGACCGTATAAATCTATTGAGAGATATCAGAATGTATTAAAGTCAACTACGGGAAAAACTATGATCCAATTGTTATCATCAAGTAATTTCAAATTCAGGTTCAATTCGGATAATTGATTAGTTCTAGAAGTTCTCGACGACGATTACATTTCCCACAACATTTCTGCAAAAACAAGATACAAAGTAATTGTTTATAAAACTCATAGAAGACACATACTACTTGTCATAGATACTGTATAATATAATAGATCATTCGATAATTACTACGAAATATAATGATACACAACAAGTGTCTGAGGGAACTTAGTCTCTCTCTCTGTAGAAAAAGAAAAACTAAAATATGTTTTGTAATTTATGTTGGGTACTTTCCTATTTTATAATTACAACAAGAACAAAAACATATCGTAAACCTACTTTTAACCTATAAATTGGTGAATCAATCACTTGTTTTTCGATCTATTTTTGTTCTTTCACTTGAAAATCGCAGAAAAATATTCATATCTTCAACATAAGATAACGACCAAAAAATTGAAAAGAAAATAATATACGAGATAAATGACGTAATAATGATTTAGTCGGCGAAAACGTTAAATAAAATAAATATAGATAAAAGATTCTTTTATATGACAAGAAAATGACTCACAAATTGTTGGAAAGTAAAGTAATGTTATATTTTAAGAGACAAAATGGCAGTGACGAAAATTCCAAGATTATTTTAATAAAATGATTCATATGGACGCCACTTTCAATTGATATTTTTCATTTCTGACAGTATATATACATATAGAATTAGGCATTATCAATAAAATAAAACAGAAATTTATATATCTGTTTCGCTTCAATTATATAGCTTGATTCTTTGGTTATTCGCAAAACTTCACTCAAAACGTTTTTACATATAACTAATGTAAGTATATATTATTAGCAAGTGTTGATAATAATCTCATAAAAAGAAATTATATCTATTTCTAAATAAGAAAATAAATGTGAAATGTTTTATAGAGAATTCTTAATTATTATATGACAGAGGAACAAGATGAAATCCATTGACTGATGATAATAAATTATAGAGTAATTTCGAATATTGATATCTCAAGGTATATTTAAAGAAGGGTAAGGGTGAGGGTGAGGGTGAAAATAAACCTGAAGTTTTGAGTCTTTATGATGAAGTGATGACTTCCTAAAGCAACAAGTAACTCTATGAGGAATCGCTTAGCAATAGACCCTTATAGATGCTGGTGAATCTTTGTAGAGTCTGGTAGAGCCCGGTAGAAATAATAACACATATTGTATAAATATCTTTATACAAAAATTTTGAACTATTTTGTAATTCAATTACGACATGGACTCATATATATTCTGAATTATCTTATGATGTATTATCACATTGAACTTCTATTATTAAAAAATCCGGCTTTTTGTACTTGTACAGTACATAAATTCTGAATTTGTTTATCATCTAATTATTTATGAAACATCTTTTAGCAAGCACTATTGTTTTATACGAAGAAGGAAGATGATAGCTTACAAACAAGAAGTTAATATTCTCTTTTCTCTAGATATTCAAACTATTTTGCCTTATTCTACAGCGTTTTCATCAAAATGGTAAGCATTCTTCTCGGTTCAGATGACAAAATTGTCAAATGTAGTGACGTGTCTAAGACACTCATCAGACTTCTTTACGGTGTTCACGATTTGGGCGTTGCACTTGTCCGATTCGACACAAGTTATTCGAGCCAAGTGATCGGAATGGATGACATGTTGGCAGAGTTCGATGGTCACATTGGTGATTGTGGTTGTCAATTACGAGCTCAAATGCTTTGGAATATTACAGAGCATTATCGTGAAGCAAAAAGTCGTGAATGGATTGCTAATATTGTTCAAACACTTGAACATATCAAGAATAGAATAATTACCATGTATTGTGATATTCGTCGACTAAAGACTAATAAGCAATCCCTAGGTTTTCCTCCATCAATTCAACTTGCTGATATTTTTGAGCGTATTGGGTGCAAATCCTTATTTACAATACTTGACAATCATTCGTCTAAAACTGTTTTGGATGACGAATTGACTATCTTAACGAATTTTAATCATGACATCACCTACCATTCCAACAATACAGGTGGGAAACCATCCGGTACTCGCCTGAATAAACGCGAGCGTCGTCGAACATCCAACGTTGACAAATGGCATTTGTCTGACTACCGAATGATAGCTCGATTTCTATCTTACTGTCGTATTTTATCACTTAACAAAACGGCCATTCTTGAGCCTGGCGCTACTCGCATTCGTAGTCGGCTTGATCCTCTATTTGCTGCTTCTATGACCGAGAAACAACTTGATAATCTTAATCTTATCGATGAAGATGTCTTATCAAGTTTCATATGTAACGATGATCGACCTACTCGTACAGGACTTATTCGTGAGATAGAAAATATGCAAGTATATGTCTCACAACTTACTTGTGATTGGTTGACTAAATTGTCTCTTGAAATGGGTCTTACACATCCCATTCAAAAGTAAGATGCACATCTTCTCATGCTTTATATTCATTTGTCTATTTTATAGGCTTCTGAGTAGTAGTGTTCAGATCTCATCACGTTTACTTCATTGTACATCGGCATATGCATCAATCCTCGTCATACGCATTGAATGGCTAGTGAAACACACACCACTTTTTCTTGTCGTCCGTCGTTTTTGTACTCATGGTAAGTACTTTAGTTCTGTCGTTTTGAACAGACATTAATAATTTTATCGCAAAGTTTCCTAATACATATCATTATAATAATCAGAGCTAGAACAAGTACAAGTGCTGCAAGCAAAAGTATTATACTTGTACTTGAAAAAAAGTGCTTCGTACTTGGGATCTAAGGTTTTAAACTTAAATGGATTATAGTTTAGCAGACACATGCCAATATGGCTAAATTTAAGCTATTTTATGCTGTCCTATATCGATCACCTTTAGATTTAAGTTGCTTCAATGCGCTAACTAGGGATGTACCTAGGTTGAGACCCTTAGTCTCGATCAGTTTCGGCTTGTCTCTGTCTCGCCTGAGATTCTTGGTCATGTCTCGGCCTCGGTACATTTATAGCTCTAACTATAAATTTAAGCGACGTAAATTAGAAGATAGCCACTACAGTGAACGTAATACTCTTTTAGATAGATGCAAATTGAACAAAAGTTTGATCGTATGTCTTTTGTCACAACTAACATGAATTTCTTTTTAAATACTTTCTTTTTATCAAACAACGTGAATTTTACATATCATCTATTTGATGTCGTACAATTATTTATATTTCTATTGTCTTTTACTAGGCTATCATAATATATTCTATCGTGTTTCAATTAATTCTGAAGCGGTTCGTTCCAAAATTGAATCTATTCGTCAAAATAACTCTAAGATTGTTGAATTTGGTAATGCCGATTGGTTTCATCTTACTTTCGTTCCTCTCGAATCGATACTTCATCAAGAATGGGCTAAACAACCTCATGTGATTCTCATATCAAATTCAATTAATGGTAACATGGATGATTTTTATCTTCGTATGGGCAATACCAATCATTGTGGACCTCATAATAGTTCATGTCTTGAGTACGAAGACTTTGTCACAAATGAATTCGGCAAAATTAATTTTTCACAAGCTATCATGTATTTCTTTGGTGCTCATGATCAATATCCATTCGAGCTAACCGTCAATGAGACTGAATTTGATGTAATCGAAAAGATTGTCCATTCGACTCTTGGCCGTGAAGCAGCCATGATCTATCGTCAAACAGTAGATGAAGCTCAATGTTACAGAGGACAATATACTGCTCTTGGTCTCTTAAATTTCCAACATATATTTACAGAACTACCCATTATCGTTGCTCGTCAGACAGAATACATTGCATTAAAAAATGAAAGACCATCTCTATACGGATATCGACGGACTGAGATTGTAGATGTCAACACTATCAGACTATAGTGTGCGGTGAATTGTGTTAATTGAAGCCTGAGTGATGTGTATATGAACGATAAATCTCAAAGTATTAAACTAAACTGTTTCCTTTTTATCATCTATTTTTTGTCACAATAAAATGATTCTTTTCGTTTTAAGTAAGTGTTTGATACAAATGAATGCAGAAGAGTTTGCACTTAACCCTAACACGATCACTTGGAATATACACAAACACAAATTATTTCATGTGAATATTTTACATATACAACCGTAGATCATATTTTATCTCTTCGTATACAAGTAACGCTCGCCTGTGGACTCGCTCAGCTCTTTCTCGTAGAAATCATCCTCTATAATATCACTGAAGTTTCTGTTTATATAATATGTAAAACCTGATTTGAGATTCGTAATTCTCGACTTCGAAAACCCTTC